TTCAAGACTCCATTCCATAGGGGGATGGATTCCTTCTTTAAAATACATCTTCATCTCCCATGCTTTCCAGTAATTTCAGTGTTGCATACTACCAGCTGTGAGTTTTCCCAGGTTGCTATTCATTTATGACTTCCCTACACAATTGAAGTTATTTTGAAATAAGAAATTACAAAAAAATTATAAATGCTTCTGAGACTATCCATTTTTCATTTTTTTTTTTAAATGTGCATTGGTGTTTTGCCCTGGAACTGGAGTTACAGATAGTTGTGAGCTGCCATGTGGGTGCTAGGAATTGAACCCAAGTCCTCTGGAAGAGCATTGAGTGCCCTTAACCACTGAACCATCTCTCCAGCCCTGAGACTATCAATTTTTTAAATAATTTTTATTTATTTATTCATTCATTCATTCATTTGTTTATTTATTTAGTATTTTTCTGAGACTGGGTTTCCCTGTGTAGTCCTGACTGGCCTGGAACTTGCTCTGTAGACCAGGCTGGCCTGGAACTCAGAGATCCACCTGACTCTGCCTCCCAAGTGGTGAGATTAAAGGCATGCGACACCACCGCTAGGTTCAGACTATTAATTTTAAACTACTCTTCTGACACACTGATAACACATTTTTATACCTCCTTTCTCTTTTTCCATCGAAGAGTCCCCCATTCCATCTCAGTTCCAAACATGACTTTTCAGATAGGACTTTCTCTCTGGGAATGAAATAGACTGTTTCCCCATAGATTTCCTTACACTTCCTGTCATTCTGCAATGTTTAGATATGCCTTCTTGTGTAGATTTTGCTAGTCCAGAATACTTGGGGCTCTATTTACCTACAATGTGGCATTTTATGGGCTTTTTTAATCACCTGGTTTTATCAAAATGTACTTTTACTTTTATTAACATTCTCTTTGTTGATCTGTGCAGTGTCTAGGAAAAAAGGAGGAAATTGGGACAAAGTTACTGTTATGTTTCTACCCGAGTTATTAAGAAAGGGTTTCTAAATAACTTATTAGTCATAGAAATTACAAAGGAAATTTGAATTTTGAACAGAGTGATAATTAATAATATATGTCAAAACTGGTATGATTGATTTAAGCAATGGTTAGAGAGAATTTAAAACTTTACTGACCTGTTAGAACAGAAGAGCATCAATAACTGGATAGTTTATCTTAAAATGTTAGAAAATTAAACACAAAGAGACTACAAGGAAATAAGAAATAAAAACAGGAGCTAATGAAATAAAAAGGAAATTTAAACCTGTTGGTAGGGAGACTTACTGGGTTCTTAAGAAAGGTAGTGACATGATCGTATTTGTTTTCCAGAAAGAGACCTCTGGCAGCAGTTTGGAAAATAGATAGAGGAGAAAAAGCTAATCTGAGAAGCCAGTAGGGGGCTTTTCAATCACTAGTTCAGGTAAGAGATGGTGGTGTTCTAATGTGGGATGGAGAGGAAGGGACATATTCCAAGGATTCAGCTGAAGAAAAAAAAAAAAAAAAAAAAAAGGCTTAAGAACCATGTCCATAAAAGCAGAACTTTGGGCACCTGGAACTGACTAGAAATAAATAGACCAGAAACTACTAGGTTTTTAAAGAAATTATACTTGCAAATAAACTATAAGCCTGGTATATCAGATAAATCAAGAGTTCAACCAAAGAAGTAGAATTGGCAGGCACTACATAGAGAGCTGGTTTATACAATTGTAGTAAAGCTAATCTGAAATCTTAGAGAAGGGGCAAGAAGTGAGATCTTGGACATAATCTAAACTGTTGTCTGTAGATGGACTTTCTTCTCTCCTTCTCTCTTGGGGAAGCCTCAGCCTTGATTTTTAGGCTTTGAACCAATTGAATCAGACTCATCACATTATCCTAGATAATGTCCCTTATGTTCTGTCACCTAATTTTGAACTTTTATTACATCTATAAAATAAACTGTCAACAACACCTATATTAGTGTTTGATTAAGTAAATAAAAACGAATAGCCTAGGCAAGTTGACACACTAAGGAAAAACATAAGCTGAGTGTGGTGGACTTAAACCTGTAAGCTAATACTCAAGAGGCTGAGGCAAAACTTATATATTCTTGTACCTGTGCTATGTAGGGAGTCTGAGGGCAGCTTGGGCCACAGAGTAAGTAAGGCTCTGTTTGTTTGTATATTTAAATTTTAATGCCCCTAATTTTTTCTGTGATTTTTTTTTTAATCATTGAAATATGTTTTGTTGCACTACCAGGTATGTTCTAAACTAGTTTTTTGTTTTGCTTTTTTTTTTTTTTTTTTTTTGGTCTAAAAGTCTGTAGTGGTGGATGCTACAAGTTAGAATGTTAAATCAAGTGTGGTGACACACCCATAATCTGAACAGGATCTGGAGTTTAAGGTCACCCTGAGCTACATAGAGAGTTTGAGGTCAGCCTGGGTGAAATAATGAGACCTTGTCTTTTAAAGCAAACAAAGCCTAGTGTGGTGTTGTTTGCCTGTAATTCCAGCACTTGGAAGACCCAGGTAGGAAGGGAGAACTCAAGGCCAGCTGGGCTATATAATGAATTCCAGGCCAATCTGGGATCTAAGTCTTTAGGAATAATAATGTGATAAAAACAGAAAGGGAAGGATAAAATCATGAGGAATTCTAGAATTTAAGGAAGTAAGAAAAAACAAGTGAGCCAAGGCTGATTGTTACAAGCAGTATGGAAACAAAAAGAAAAAAAATAAGTAAAAACCAGTTCAAAGTTGAAGCGACTAGAAGAATGTTCAAACATTAGATAATTTCAATAAAACAAGACCTTTTGCAGTACAATCAAGAGCAAGAAAGAATATCAGTACTATGATTTTTAGTCACTGTTGTGTTTTCTAACTTTTGTTCTTCTTACAGGTTTCAATCTACATGTTACTTTCTTACGAAGCAGTGTTTGACACCCTTCTCCCCCAGTCCAGCCATCCCCCAAGTCTGAGTTAGGTACTTGTCTTATATATTCCCACAGCACAGTGTACTCCCCTATAATAGCACGTACCACCCTGAGATCTAACTGTCTATTGTTTTGTGTCTCTATGTTCTGGACATAGAGAGTGTTGTAATTCACCAGTGTACTCTCCATGCCTAGTATAATTCACATTAAGCAAAGAATGAACACATCCAAGAGCATGGAGAAGGAATGTCCAAAAGAGCTTGAAAAACAGAAGTATTTACAGGACTAAGTGATATAGTAATATAGGAAAAAGACTAGTAGTTTAGGTTGAAAAGCAGATACCCCAGGATTAAATTTTCTGAAGTCTGTAAAATACAAAATTTAACTGAAAGACATGAAACAAAGCTTCAAAACAAAAAAGAAAAGAAAAAAATGTTATATATATTCAGAAATCCTAAAATGTCAGTTATCCCAAAATCAACCTGTAAGTACAGTACTAATTAAAATCCAAATGGGATATGTTAGGATGCTTCATAAGTCTATTTGGTTTTGTCTTTTGTTTTTGAAACAGGGTTTCACTATGTAGCCCAGGCTGTCCTGGACTCTACACAGACCAGAGTGACCTCTGCCTTCCAAGTCTGGGATTAAAGGTTTGCACCATCACACCAAGCTTGATAACTCTGTATTTGTATGGAAGGATAAATGATCACAAGAAACCAATACAATTTTAAAGAAAAAGGAATTGCCGTACTTATTAAGAAACAGTAACAGTTACACACAATGCTGGAAGTGTAGGGACAGGCAGATTAATGACTGAGAGAGAGCCTAGAAACAAAGCAGCTATGTATTTATGGAAATTTTGTAAATGTCTGAGATGCATTTTAAGTTAATGGGGAAAAGGAAAATAACAAGTTGTATTTAAAGTTATAAACATTTTGAAGAAATATTTGGATTCAGCCAGGCAGTGGTAGCACAGGCCTTTAATCCCAGCACTTGGGAGACAGAAGCAGGTGGATCTCCGAGTTTGAGGCCAACCTGGTCAATAGAGTGAGTTCCAGGATGGCATTTGTTCCACTGCCCAGCATTTGTAATCCCATTGTTGGGGTGCTGGAGAAGGGAGGAGCCCTGTGTCTTGTTTGTTAGACATTCTACTGCATCAGTAGACACAAAATTCCTGGAGAAACCCTATATAGAAACTAAAGTGAAGAGTGATCGAGGAAGACACCTGACATTGACTTCTACCTGCCACATGTGTGCTCGCTCTCTCTCTCTCTGTCTCTCTGTCTCTCTGTCTCTGTCTGTCTCTCTCTCTCTCTCTCTCTCTCTCTCTCTCTCACACACACACACACACATCTAAGCAAAAGAAAACAAACTAACAAGTAGAACAAAAACAAAACAGAAAATAGACTATGTCAAAAGTTGGAGTTTGTATAAATTCACAAAGCTAAAATAATAGAAGAATGTTTGCAGTTCATAGAACAGAGCTTATAGACTATAAGGACAAATAAATAGAAAAATGTGTAGTTCTCAAAGGATAGCCATGAGTAATAGGCACAAAGAGAGATTCTCAAGTTCACTAATAATCAAGAAATTATAAATAAAATCAACAAAGGTACCATTTCACACCCATCACATTTACACAATTTTTAAGTCTTATAAAAGCAACATATGCCTATAATCCAACCACTTGGGCCACCAGAGAGATCTCAAGTTCAAGGCTAGCTCATGCATTAAGTAAGACCCAGTCTCAACAAAAATACATAGTAGAAGAGCAAATGTTGGTGAGGAACTCACATGGTATAGAAATGTGCTTTAGCATAACTATTTTAAAGAACAGTTTTTGTTGGGTTGTTTTGTTGGGGGACTTTTTGTTTATTTGGTTTGGGTTTTTGTTAGTTCTTTTAAATTTAGAGATGGGGTCTAATTTAGCTCAAGCTGGTCTACAGAGTGAGTTCCAGAATAGCCAAAGCTACACAGAGAAACTGTCTCAACAACAACAACCAAAAAAGGATTATGGCATCTTAATAAATTGAACATAGTGCCTGACATTTTAAATATTCCTCCCCTTCTAAGCTTTATTAAGATATGATTGATGGGCTGAAGAGATGGCTCAGAGGTTAAGAGTACTGGCTGCTCTTCCTGAGGTCCTGAGTTCAATTCCCAGCATCCACATGGTGGTTCACAGCCATCTGTAATGAGATCTGGTGCCCTCTTCTGGCCTGCAGGGATACACACAGATAAAACACTATACATAATAAATAAATCTTTAAAAAAAAAAAAAAGATGTGATTGACAAAAACTGTGTATGTTTAAGGTATACAATATATTTGATAATACATATTCCATGTGGAATCATTACCATATGCAGCATTCCCAGCACCTCACATATCAGTCATATTTGTGTTTGCTTCTGAGAGTTAACACCTGAGACCTACACTCAGTGAATATGCATATATATACATTAATAGTAGTGTGTGTGTGTGTGTGTGTGTGTGTGTGTGTCTGTGTGTGTGTCTGTGTGCTGGTTATATACGTGTGTGTGCGCGCGCGTGCGTGCTGGTTAAGTTCACCATGCTGTACACTAGTCCTTCAGAACTTAACCAGTACCTGGACATCTGTGCCCTTTGACCAGTATGTCCTCATCTCTCCCACCTCCAACCATCCCAGTAAAGTGGTACCTACCATTCTACTGTTTCTGAGTTTGGATTCTAAAATACAGTTATAGGTAAGACCATACAGTAATTGTCTTCCTGTGCCTGGTTTTTTCACTGAACATACATGGCCTCTAGATTCATCCATGTTGTCAAAAATGACAGAACTTCCTTCCTTTTAAAGGAATAATAAACTCTTTGATACATACTCACACACCACATTTTAAAAAATCCATTGATGTGTCTGTAGATGTAGGTTGTTGGTGCATCCTAGCCATTCTGAATAATGCTGCAATGAGCATGGGAATGCAGATGTCTCTTTGACATAGTGATTTTTATTTGCTTTCAATATAAGTCCAGAAATAAGATTGCTGGATCATAAGTAGTTAAATTAAATAATTTTAATGGCACATATAGAACCATGGCCTTATACATATTAAGGAGCTGTTCTACCATTGAACTGCATACCCAACAGTATTTTTAATATCTAAGGAACTTTATACATTTTCCACAATACCTGTACCAAGGATTTATTTCTTAATTACCAGTAAAGTGTATTAATAATGTAAAATTAATGTTACTTGAAAAATACAAGAACTGAGAAGTGTTGTTCTGGCCACCTTACTTGTTAAATGTCCTTTCTTTGTTGCTGTGTGGTTTTGATTTTACAGCCCTTGTACTTGTTTGCTGCACTAAACAAACAACATTTACTGAACTTGAAATAACTAGTGTAGGCTTGTATTGAGCAATGTAAATAACCCAGGAAAAGGGGGTCAGATGACTCAGAGGATAGTCACTTGCTCCCAGGCTTGACCACCTGAGTTTGATCTCTGGAACCCACAAGATGGAGAAAGAAAACTGA